GGTATTTGGACAATGGAGCAAGCAATCATATGTGTGGATGCAAAGAAAAGTTTGTGGAGATCAATAAAACGGTGAGAGGTAATATGTCTTTTGGAGATACCTCAAAGATTCAAATCGAAGGGATATGTACGATTCTGATCTCCTGTAAAGATGGTAGTCACAAGCTAATTCAAGATGTTTATTATGTGCCAAAATTAAAAAGTAATATTTTGAGATTGGGCCAACTTCTTGAAAAGGAATATGACATCCACATGAAAAATATGCATGTTTGGCTTAGAGATTCAAGTGAAATTCTAATTGCTAAAGTGCATATGGCAAAGAATAGATTATTTTCTCTGAATCTTAAAACAATTGATGCAAAGTGTTTGAAGGCTAATGTGCAAGATGAATCATGGCGTTGGCACGTGCGATTTGGACACTTGAATTTTGAAGCGCTCAAATCAATGGGAGAAAAGAACATGGTACATGGGAGACCATCAATCAACCATCCAAATCAACTGTGTGAAGCTTGTCTTCTAGGAAAACATGCAAGGAGGAGTTTTCCAAAGGAGGCTATGTCAAGATCAACCAAGCAGCTCCAGCTTGTTCACACTGATGTGTGTGGACCAATCAATCCACCTTCTTTTGGTAAAAGTAGATACTTTCTGCTTTTCATTGATGACTTTAGTAGAAAGACTTGGGTTTATTTCATGAACCAAAAATCTGAAGCTTTTGCTGCTTTTAAAAATTTCAAAGTACTTGTGGAGAAAGAAAGTGGCTATGAAATTAAAGCTCTAAGGTCCGATAGAGGAGGCGAATTCACTTCAAACGAATTTAATGACTTTTGTCAGTCTCATGGAATTCGTCGCCCTCTAACGGTACCTTATTCACCCCAACAAAATGGAGTTGCAGAGAGAAAGAATCGAACGATTCTTAATATGGCTCGATGTATGTTGAAAGCTAAAAGTATGCCCAAGGAATTTTGGGCCGAAGATGTTTCTTGTGCAGTTTATTTGAATAACAGGTCTCCAACAAGAAATGTTAGAGATCAAACCCCTCAAGAAGCATGGAGTGGAAGAAAGCCAAGTGTCAAACATTTGAGAATCTTTGGGAGCATAGCATATGCTCATGTGCCACAGCAAGGGAGAGCGAAGCTTGACGATCGAAGTGTCAAGCATGTGTTTGTTGGCTATGATATGAGTTCAAAAGGCTACAAGTTATACAACCCAAGTAGCGGTAAGGTGGTGGTAAGTCGCGATGTTGAATTTGATGAAGAATTGGCATGGAATTGGGAATCCCAGGAAGAAACTTCATATGATTTTCTTCCATACTTTGGTGATGAAGAAGAACCAGAGACCGTGGAACCTGTGCAGGATACAACTCCACCTCCTTCTCCAACCAATGTTGCATCTCCCTCTTCTCAAGAAAGTTCAAATGAACAGCCGCAAAGGACAAGGAGCATTCAAGAGCTCTATGAGGACACAAAAGAAGTTACTAATTTTGATTTTTTATGTTGTCTCTTTGCTGACAGTGAACCAATGAACTTTGATAAAGCTGTTACAAACAAAAAGTGAAGACAAGCCATGGAGGAGGAGATTGAGTCAATAGAGAAGAACAACACTTGGGAGTTAACAACTCTTCCCAAGGGTTATCGAGCAATTGGAGTGAAATGGGTATACAAAATAAAGAAGAATGCTGGTGGAGATGTGGAGAAATACAAGGCATGACTTGTGGCTAAAGGCTACAAGCAAAGGCAAGGCATTAACTATGAATAAGTCTATGCACTTGTTGCCCGCATGGAGATGATTCGTTTGCTGATCTCTTTGGCGGCGCAACTGAAGTGGAAAATCCATCAACTAGATGTCAAGTCAGCCTTCTTGAATGGCTATCTTGAAAAAGAAGTCTATGTTGAACAACCATTATGCTTCGTGGTCAAAAACCATGAAGATAAAGTGTTGCAGTTGAAGAAAGCTTTATATGGATTAAAGCAAGCCCCACGAGCATGGAATAGTTGCATCGACAAGTATTTTCAAGACAATGAGTTTACTCGTTGTCTCCAGAATATGCTATTTACCTTAAAGTTCATACTAATGGAGATATCTTGCTTGTTTGTCTTTATGTTGATGATCTTATTTTCACGGGTAATAACCCAGGTTTGTTTGAAGCTTTTAAGAAAGATATGTCCCGGGAGTTTGAGATGACAAATGTAGGGCTCATGTCATACTACCTGGGCCTAGAAGTGAAGCAGATGGAGGATGGAATTTTTATCTCTCAAGAAAGCTATACAAAAGAGATATTGAAGAAGTTCAACATGCTCAATTGCAACCCCGTGAACATACCGATGGAGAGTGGGACAAAATTGTCCAAGTTTGATGAAGGAGAAAAGGTGGATCCCACATTTTTCAAAAGTCTTGTGGGAAGTTTGAGGTACTTGACTTGTACCAGGCCAGATATACTCTTTGCAGTTGGAGTAGTAAGCCGCTTCATGGAAGCTCCTACCTCTACTCTTTTGAAAGTCACTAGAAGAGTTCTTCGTTACCTAAAAGGTACTATTGACTTTGGGTTATTTTATTCTTCTTCTAGTGATTTCGACCTTATGGGATATTGTGATAGTGATTATGCGGGAGATATTGATAATAGAAAAAGCACAACTAGTTTTGTATTTTTCTTGGGTGATTCTGTTATTTCTTGGAGTTCAAAGAAACAACCAATTGTTACTCTCTCGACTTGTGAAGCTGAATATATAGCAGCAACATCATGTACATGTCATGCTATTTGGCTGAGAAAATTATTGAAGGAGCTCAATTTGCCACAAATTGAAGCTACAGAGATTTGTATTGACAACAAATCCGCACAGGCACTCGCGAAGAATTCGGTATATCATGATCGAAGCAAGCATATCGACACAAGGTATCACTTCATTAGAGAATGCATTGCCAAGAAGGAAGTCGAGCTCAAGTATGTGAAGTCTCATAATCAAATTGCAGATATCTTCACAAAGTCTCTCAAGTTTGAAATTTTGAGAGATTGAGATCCTGTCTTGGAATGAAAAAGAAAAATCAAAATTAAGGGAGAGATTTGTGGGACCAATCCCAATTAAAATAAAAAGAATAAAAATAATCGGATGAAATGGGTGGCAATTGTAGGCTCACAACTTGGTCTTGCAACAAGTTACAAAACCGTTTTGGATGGCAACTTGCAAAGCAAGTTGCGATGGAATGAACCATTCTGATTGGTTCAAATGTTGGAAAGTTCTCCTATAAATAGGAGCTTATTTCTCTCATTGAAAGTACACCAAATCAGAGAGAGCGCAATAGAGCGTAGAGAGAGTAATCCACAGATTGTAGTCTGTGAGATAAATAGTGAGTGGGAGTAATATTGTAGTGAGGTGTTTAAAAGTGTTATTTCTTTCGAAGTTGTAGTAGTCTCTTGACACTACTAAGTTGTATATAATAGTGGTAATATTGCTCTGCTCGGGTATTGTATTTTACCCCGTTAAAATATTTGATGTCGTTGTTACTCTTTTGTGTTATTGTTATTTACCGTGGGTATTATTCCTGGGCGGGATATTATTTTTTTTATCCCAACAAGCACATCCAATGACTTACCTTAGAACACTTTCCGTGAGTGAAGAGAGAAGCTAACTCAGGAGAAGTTGATCTTGTCTTCTCCAAGCAGTGTAGGCTGAATTAATGGTGGCTTCTGCAGAAGAGCTTTCTTCTGAGGTACTGCTAGTAATAATTTTGGATGGACATTTATGAGTTCCATCAACATATCATTCCTGATCATAACCTCTTAAGGCTGGAAGTGTTAGAGATCGCCATAGAACATAATTGTTCTTGTCCATCTTCATCAAATTGGAGTGGGTGACATTGTTTGAAAAAAAGTCATTCGAACCTGCTGTAGCTATGTCTTGGGATGAAATATCAGAGGTGGTGATTGAAGGGTTTGTCATTGTTGAGGGAATTGATTCGTTACTTTGCTCTGATACCATGAAAGTATTAAAGGAATCAGTTGTTATTCATTTATCTATGCCTATAATACAATGATGTTTAAATACTACTCAATACAATAGTCGTAATGGGAGATGGACTTTACATGGCATATCAGCTAATAGGTTTATCCCTTAGGATAAGGATTTTCCGTTATGGTGAATATTTTTATCCGTTAGGCGTAGGTATCCTAACATTGCTACTCTCAATATTTATTTTTCACGATAAGTACTGATTTTGGATTAAATTATGATTTAGTAGTTTTTTCAACTATATATACATTTTCTGTTATGCAAAACTTTATTATCAATTTACTCGTAAAAAAATTGGAACGAGGCCAAAAAGAATAAAGAAAAGTGACGCTATCATTGAGCATCATTATTCCAAACTTAGAGGGCCAAACGAGAAGTCCAAATAAATACCATAATAAGCTCATCTTGTCAATCACAAGCATAACCAACATCCTAGATCCATATGTTTGTGTTGAAATGACAGGTAGCCACTTTTAAGCATGTTGTTTAAAATATATTCACAATTTACAATATATTTAAAGATTAGTCAATTTCGCTCAAACTTCAGGACACGACGTCCTAGAGATTAAACATCAAAATTCAGGTCATCGTGTCCTAAAGTACGAAAATTGTGTCCAAAAGTTCGAATATTATGTCTTGAATTTTAAATTAGCAGCTCAAAAATTCAGGACACTAAGTCCTGAATTCCCAAATTCAGGATACTTTGTCCTAAAGCTGGGTGTATTTAAATACATTGTAAATTGTATATATATTTTATATAGCGGTTTTAAAAATGGTTGTTGCTGCACTTTGCCCTATGTTTGTTAACTTAACCCTACTTACGCCCTATGTTGTTAACTTAACCCTACTTAATGCTCGCATTGCTCATTCCAAGTGACAAAAAGAATTTACAGTATTGTAAGGAAATGAATACATTAGGGAGTAGAAAATAAGAGGATATAATGCAAACCAGTAAATGATCTACACATAAGAGGTGCAAAACGCAATGAACTAGTTGTAACCAAATGATATTTTTTGTAGGACTTTTAATTGATTTAGTGAATATACTTGTATCAAGATCCAACTACATTAGCTCTCTAACAAACAGCATTAGGAGTGGACTGTTGAGTAAACAAGTCACTCATATGCTTAATCTTTCCCGAGTTACAGAAAACTCAGGGCAGCAGAAAATGTTTGGTTAATATATTCATACCCACAATGAGCTATTGAGGGACTATAAAGTTTGGATTATCTATATATTCCTTTCAATCATACAGAGGGGAAAAACTTGTTGAGATTGAAGGGCAATGAGTAAAACTCTTCACTTCTTGTATCTGTCTTGAATGACTTGAACTTATCCCACCATGGCATGCCCCTATCCTTCCGTGTTGCAGCGTCCTTTTTATGCAGTGATACATCTAGGAACAATGCCAATAAACCAGCAACAAATGGTTCCGACGAGAAGGGCACATTGATCATGTCATTGAACTGGTAAAAAGAACAAAATGCAACAACTCATTCAGGGTAAAGGAAGAAAACGTCCAGTTTTATGCCATTACTAAACGAAATATCTTAATTTCAACCCCCCTTATACTTTGAGATCATTCATACTCTTGTCATAAGCAAATCGTCTTATATTGTCTTTGATCTTAACGGAGCTCCAGTATAGCAAAATACTTAGGGGGAAAAGTCCAAATTTATCCCTCTACTTTTAACTTCGGTCTAAAAGTTATCTTTCGATATACTTCAGTTAGGGGCCATGCTGAAGTACCATTAGGGTCAAGAGCAAATACAAAGCAATTTGCTAACGTCAAGGATATGAATGGCCCTAACTTATAATCGGTGTTAAGACTATAATATTTGGTATAGTGGAGGGGTATTTTGACCTTTTTCTTATAAGTAATATTTCTTGAGCCAAGGGTCTATCGGAAACAGCTTTTCTACTTTTATACGGTAGAGGCAAGGTCTGCGTTCACACTATCCTCCCCAAACCTCACTTATGGGATTATACTGGATTTTTTTGGTTGTTGTTATTGTTGTTGTTCTTATAAGTAATATCAATGTAGTAATATGGGAAAGGAGGTTGGAGGGATTACTTACCCATCTAGCTCTAGTATGAACAGGACCATATCCATTTATTGCTGTATATTCATTGAAGTATTGTGGAATGGATAAGCCCATGAAAACTGAGAATCCTAGAATGAACTTTGTTCTAAAGCTGTTTAAGTTGCAGAACTGCAGAAAACTTAGACCAGCTGAACCTGCAAACACATTAAGGCCAAACTTTATCATGTTCTAATTGTCCTAGGAATACACCAAAGACACTATTAATTGATAATACATACCAACATAGGCAAAGAAGAGACAATACAATGCTGCAACTATTGGTGCAGGGATTGATGCAAAGACAGCTCCAAATTTCCCTGGATCGAACAAGTTTAACCATGAAATATTTGTCATATTTCCAAGAATTAATCTGAGCTAAATAATTACATGCAGCAAAGAACTAACCAAGAATTGAGAAGAAGATCATGAAACCAGCGGATATTTGAACCACTCTCCTGCTCCCAACGCGGGTTAATGCGAGTAAGCCAGCATTTTCTCTATAGAACAGAAAGGAAATATTAAGATTCTTTGCTATGAGTGAGAAGGACATTGCTAGCACACTAGTGGAAAAATTTCATCTTTGCTCGAACTTAACAAGAGTCTTACGGAGATACAGATGAGCCATTTCCGGTTCCAAATATTCCTGAGAACAATATGCCCACACCCTTAAAGAAGACAAAGAAAACTAATCTTAGAACCATAGGTAATTAACACCTTGAATGATAAGGAAATTGGGATAATATTCTTTCAGCAGAGGAAACATTGGGTTCCATTGTACTGATTTTGATTTCAGTAAATAACATATGTGTATAAGATAATATTTGAACTTTAAGCTATAAGAGGATATAGTAAAAGATTGATTCTTTTTACTACTATCAGGTCACAATCTTTAATGTAAGAATCTCCACATTGGTAATTTAGAGGATTTACCTGCCAACCGACACCACGGCTAAGGACAGAAGGAGGTATAGGAGTTGCACTGGCATACCTTGACATGGCAAAGAATGTACCAGTAGACTGTTGACAGTCAAAACACGACGAAAACATGTATCAGTTTAGTTTGTTTTCAAGTAGCGAATAAGTAAACTTCAACTACACAGAAGAGAAGGAAACTCCATCAAAATCAGATAGGACCATAACCTTATGAGCAACTTGTTTTGGAATTAACTAACCTCGACAAGAGCAACAAGTGAAGCCGCCATCATTGCAAATGCTTCTCCAGCATCAAATGTGGGAGCTCCCCATTGAAATGGATAAGGAACTCTAATCCTGTCCAAGATATACAAGTAGAATGTTTAGCCTACAATTCATACCTAACCCGCATACCTCTTTTCACTACTGCTCATATAACATGTTTTTACACTTTGTGAGGCATATCCAACATTCATATGTCTTTGCCAACTCCAGTCTAGACTTTATTTTGATAATTTTGGCAGTTCCGAATTCAAGAGAATGAACTACCCTTACCATGGAGATCCACTGATAATTCCAGCACGATCAGTTCTACAGCTAAGCTGAGTCTTCATTGGTGAATTTTTGTAAGTTCCAGCGACAGTGAGAATGTGAGCATACACCCATACAATCACGACGGAGAATATAACAGCAAACCGATCAAAGACATGCCTATCCCCTTTCATCATATGGGGTATGTACTGCATACACAAGCAGAAATATTTGTTAACTTGTTGGTTGAACTAGTAAAAGTCAGATTCAGACCATTTTTTTTCCTAAGTCTATAAATTGAACTAGAAAAGATATAATAGGAAATAACAAGCATCTGGGGAAGTTGTGACTAAAACCACCTGTGAAAAGATTAAGAGAACGATAAGCTGTGGCAATCCAATTTCCACACATTTTGCCACCTAAATGCAAAAAAGATCAGTTACTACAATGGACATGCTTATCATTTCAGGCAGAAGCTAATTTTTTACAGATAAAAGATTACCAGAGGAAACCCAAATTCGTATAATCCAAATCCTGATAGAGCTACCAATGGAATTGCGGAGAGTGGACTGATGAACCTGAAATTTGAAATGCCAAATAGGGCTAACTACTTAATCTTCAGTCAAGAATTATTTATCAAAATCAGATTTTTAATCATTTTTATTAAACAACTACTATACTCACAGGTTATTATTATGATAATATCTTTAGCTGATCATATAACTTACCTTGTCACATTCCGCCATAGGCCACTAAAGCCAATAACAATCTGAAGAGTTGAAGCTACAATTATAGCACCCTGAATCCCTCGCATTATCTTCTCAAATTTCTGTTTATATGCAAAAGAAATGGCCAACTACATTATTATATCAACATAAGAAGAATGCAGCAAATCGAAAACAGACTCTAATCCACTGACCTCCTGAGGGGTCAAAACATCACTATATCGACCAGCCAAGACGATCGAAAGTGTTGTTGGCACAAAAGTATAAGAGCCACCAATAACAGCAGGTAGTCTTGTACCAAACAAAGTCTGACTTAGTGTATTCAAACCAGCAACAAAGAGCAAGGTTTGAATCACCTTTGCTTTCTCTTCCTGACCAGTAAAAAAAACATGGATCCTAATTAAATAGACCATAATAAACTACAACCATAATATTTTGAACCCAAGTTGACAACTAATAAAAGCCACAAGTCCCTAAAAAGAAACTATAACAAGAACTAGAATGTGATGGTAATTCTCAATAATTCTTACTTTTCCACCCCCCATTTGGGGAACCAGAGTTGAAGGGATGAGTACGGTTGTGCCAAGCATAACAATGTAATGTTGAAAACCAAGTAATATGGCCTCAGCTGCAACAAGAAATTCAACAGATCTTTTTCAATTGTGGTTATCAACATGTCCACTTAATCAAACAAAAATGAATTAAACACACAACAAAAGAAGTAAAAAGACCCCCAAAAACAAAAATGGGAGATGGGTAGGAGAAAGTAGCATGCATTAAACTAACATTTAAGCTTGGAACAAAAATTGAAACAACAACTAATTTTAAGCTTTCTACAGAGACAATCATGACATATATAGGACATAATTTTATGACAAAATCAGTTTTTGGCAAAACAATGTAGTAATACTCAATAAAATATGCATGAAAACACAGAGTGATAAGTGTTTGAAAGAAAGTTAGGAGAAACTGACGCCAAGGAGGAGGACTGGTAATGCAGTAAGAAACATTAGGAAGCTGATCTTTCACAGGATGTGGTATATTCTCATCTTGTTTTGGTGGTGGTGCTGCTCCACCTCCTGCCATTCCTCTGCTTCTTCTTCTCCTTCTTCTTTTCTTCACTCACTTAGCTCTCAAAACCTTAAACAAAGTCCCTTCACACAATGCTGCACAAAACTCAAACCCCACAAAAACCAAGATAACACAATCCCCAAAAACCCACACTCATCATATTCAAGAATCTACTAAGAAAATGTGGTTTCTTTGAATGCAGTAGTACCATAATCTTGTAAAGATTTGAGCTTTTTTATGTTTTACTGAAGAAGCAAGAAAGAGAAGTGCACCCCAAGTTGATATTATAGTACACAACCAAAATGCTAAACACCCTCTTGAAGAAAACAGAGAAAATATTTTTAAAATAAAGTAAATGTGAAGATGGCTTATGCTAAGCAAACAAGAAAGAAAGAAAAGGACAGACAGTGAAAAAGAAACCAAAGTAGTCTCTGCAACACTTCCAAGAGAGAATCTTTTTTTTTTTTTTCAAACTTCAAAATAATTTTAATTGATTTTTGTGAATTTGGGGTAATGCAGAGTCTTAAACCATTCCTTTTTTCTTCTCACACGTTAAAGATAAAGTAAAAAAGCATCTCTCCATAGCAAACTCCATTGTCCTAGCTACTGTACCAGAATATTAATCTGAACATGCATTTTTCTAATTTTTTTTCATATACATTTCAAATTTGAAGTGTAACAAAAATAAAAAAGGAAGTTGCTTTTGGATTATTTATAGCATTATAGTAATATCCTTTATGATAAAGAGTTATTATTGTAAGTGAAAATTTCCCTGAGAAGTAAGGAATGAAAATGACAAAAGAGGAGCCAAAGTTTTATTCTACCTAGGCAGCTTTCTTTTTTTTTTTTTTTTTTTAAAGACAACAGAGCAGCTGCAGAAAAAATGTGAAGGGTCAAACAGTAGAATTGATTAGGGAGGCAGATTTTCAAGGTCTGATTAGTCTTTTTCTTTTTTCTTCTGATATGTCAAAAAAAAAAAATGTGTACAGAAAAGCTAATTCTGGTAACTTTTCTGTTGTCTCTGACTTGTAGTTTTGTTCAGGAGGTTTGCATGACAATTTGGAAATGAGCTGTATGTTTGTGTTTGCATTATCCTCCTTTTGCTGCATGGCCACCAAAATCCAGATGACCAACTTTCTCATTGTGAAAAATGGACATATTTCATCTTCTATCTTCTATATATAATTATATATATAGATATTCATCTTGTGTTCCAAGTAGAAAAGTTTGTAATGTTGGTCTACCAAAAAAATGTTGGTCTAATCTATTAGCATATATAAGAATTTTCGTAAGTGGTGTCAATATTTGAATAAAAGAATTGAATAAATCAATGTTTATAAGTGGTGTCATTTTTTATATTTATATCTAATATTTTGATTTTATTTATTATTTATATATGCATATTACTGGTCGCGTACAATCCTACTCTCAAGTTGAAAGTAGTACGGTCGAATGCAATAATAAACCCAACAAGGTTGGGGTCGATCCCACGAGGAGTATGGTGTGTGCTACAATGTCAAAGAGTGTGTGAATTCAATGAACTTAAAGTAATCTTCAAATAAAAAATTGATTTTCTGCAATTACTTCTAAATTTATGACTATGAAATTTAATCAAACACTTAGAATGCGAAAATAATTAGAGAGTAGTAATCAATGAGAGAAAGCACTGGGGTTGCTCATTGTCAGAATTTGACTAATTAAGATGGATTTAACAATTGCTAAAAGGAATTGCAATAATTTTTTGAGACGATTTTCGATTTATTGAAATAGAAAAACAAAACTGAATTACAAGCTAAGGAAAATGAAAAATTAACAACTAAATGAAACAGAGCTCCATGGTTCTACTTGAGATCTGCAGAAGAAGAGAAGGAATTTGGGTTAGAAGAGAAGAGAAAGAGGTGAGGATCAGAAGAAGAGAAAGAGGAGTGAGAAAGGAAGATACCGTGTAATTCGTTACCCTTCTCTGCAGAGTTTGTTAGTTAAATAACAAACTCCTTGCCAGCTGGCACAATCTGGACCCTTGAGCCTCATTAAGTGACGATTATTTTGAGCCGCCGGTTCAGGGATCCGTTAGGCCTCCTCTACTGTTAAAGTTCGAACTCAGCTAACCACATTTTAACTAATACAATCCTTGTCCTCAAGGATTATGAACAAAATCTGGAAACTTAGCCTTGATGAAATCGTAATCCTCCTAAGTCACATCCTCAGGTGGAAGATTGGACCATTGAATAAGCACTTTCACTGCAGCTGCATTGCCTTTTTTGGTGAGTTGCCTTTGTAAAATTGCAACTGGTTTGACTAAGAACCGACCTTCCTCATTAGTCATAGGTAAGGTAGATTGCACCACAGCCTTGGTGCCAATCGTTTTCTTCAACAATGATACGTGGAACACCGGGTGGACCTTGGAGGTAGGAGGAAGCAACAACTTATAAGCAAGTTGGTCAATCTTGTCAAGCACCTGGTATGGTCCACAGTATTTGGAACTTAGCTTTAGGTTCTTTCGGAGAGCCAATGAGGTTTGTCTATAAGGTTGAAGCTTTAAGTACACCATATCACCGGGTTGAAATACTCTCTATGTTCTTCTCTTGTCAGCAAACAATTTCATTCTTTCTTGAGCCTTAAAGAGGTTGTCCTTCAGCAGTTGTTGCATCTGCTGCATCTGCATAACTACATCTTCAGCTGCTGGCACAGTAGTGTCTAAGAGTGGTCCCATAGAGATCTGAGGAAGAGAATAGCCGTACAATGCTTCAAATGAGCTACACTGAATGCTAGTATGGAAAATTGTGTTATACCACCATTGTGCTAAATGCAACCAGTTCTTCCATTGTGTAGGTTTGTGGCTAGTCATGCATCTCAGATAGTTTTCAATGCATCTATTCACCCTCTCTGTTTGTCCGTCAGTTTAAGGGTGATAAGCTGAGCTATACAACAATTGAGTGCCTTTTAATTTGAACAAAGCCTGCCAAAAGTTACTGAGGAAAATCCTATCTCTATTAGAGAATATCGACTCAGGGGTGCCATGCAAAGTATGAACTCTTTTCCAGAACTCATTAGCCACATCAACCGCGGTAAAAGGGTGAGATAATGACATGAAATGGGTTGATTTAGTCATTCTATCCACCACTACAAAAATGACATCTTTGCCTTTGGATTTGGGCAAACCTTCAATGAAAGCCATTGAGATATGTCTCCAAGCTTGATCAGGTATAGGAAGTGGCTATAACAACCCAAGGTAAGCCACAAATTCATCCTTACTCTTCTGGCACACATCACATTCAGACACATAGTTTATAATCATTTGTTTCATTAGAGGCCAATAGAATAGTTAAGATAATCTTTTGAGTGTACCTAACTGCCGTGAGTGCCCACCAATAGAAGAGTCGTGAAAAACTTGAATCAACTGATGCCTCAGGTTACCAGTTGCCCCAATGTATATCTTCCCTTATCTTCTCAGTACTTCAGAAGTGAATTGCCATATTTGTGGTCCTTGTACATTTACTGATAGTTGTGCCATCAATTCAGAAGCTAAAGTATCACCAATGTCGCTATCACTGATTTCTTGCATCCAAGTTGGGACTATCGTGCTTATAGCATGAAGTGAAGCTTGAGGGTGAGTGTCATCTGGAACTTGTAAACCTTCATATTGTCTTGCGAGGGCATCGACTACTCTATTCCCATCCCCTCTCTTGTATTGAACCTCATAATCCAGTCCCAACAACTTGGTCAATCCCTTCTGCTGGATAGTTGAAGTGACTTTCTAATCAAGCAGGTACTTTAAACTATGGTGATCAACCCTTACTACAAAGTGCTTGTATTGGAGATAGTGTCTCCATTTGTTTATGGCACTAAGAAATGCCATATATTCCTTCTCATATATGGATTTATCCTTGTGTCTGGGTGACAGTACCTTGCTGAAAAAAGCTATGGGCCTTCCCTTTTGCATTAGGACAGCACAATACCTGAGTGACTAGCATCTGTCTCTACTATGAACTCTTGAGTGTAATCTGGCAAGGCAAGTACTGGTGTAGTTGACATGACTTTCTTAAGTGTGATGAAAGCTTGTATTGCCTCTTCATTCCACTTGTATGCATCCTTCTTTAAGAGGTCTGTTAAGGGTCTACAAATAGTGCCATAGTGAGCCACATATTTCCTGTAATAACCTGTTAAGCCTAAGAACCCTCTGAGAGCTTTAAGAGTGGTTGGTCTGGGCCAGTTAACCATAGCTTCTACTTTTCTAGGGTCAGTTGCTACTCCATGAACATTGATGACATGTCCTAGGTACTCAACTTGAGGTTGGCCAAATGAACACTTAGACCTCTTAGCATAGAGTGTGTTCTTTTTCAGAAGGTCAAATACCATAGATAAATGGCTCACATGTTCACACAAAGATCTGCTATAAATTAATATGTCGTCAAAGAATACTGGCACAAACTTTCTGAGAAAAGGCTGAAAAACCTGGTTCATTAAGGCTTGAAAAGTTACGGGAGCATTTGTAAGCTCAAAGGGCATTACCTTCAACTCATAGTGGCCCATGTGTGTTCTGAATGTAGTCTTGAAGATGTCTTCTACCTTCATTCTGATTTGGTGGTATCTAGCCCTCAGATCCACCTTAAAGAAAATCACAGACCCATGTAATTCATCTAACAAGTCATCCACAATGGGTATAGGGTATTTGTCCTTGACTGTGATATCATTTAACCCTCTATAATCAACACAAAACCTCCAAGTTCCATCTTTTTTTCTTCACTAATAAGGTTGGAGATGAGAATGGTGATTGGCTAGGCTGAATAATCCAACTCAACAGCATTTCTGTTACTTGCCTCTCTGGCTTTTCCTTCTGATAATAGTTGTATCTGTAAGGTCTCAAACTGACTGAGGTTTCCCCAGGTTTTAGTGGAATTTGGTGATCCAATGACCTGGCAGGAGGTAAGGCTTTGGGTTCTGCAAAAATATCTTGATAGTCACTGAGTACTTTTTGTATAGGGGAAGCTATTTCTTCTTCTTGTGATGGACTCACACTAACCATAAACAGATGGGCCATGAGTGTGTGTCCCTTCTTCAATAGTCTCACCATTGAGCTGCTACTGATCATATTTAGCCTGCCTTCTTCAGTAATGGAATGTAAGACAGTCTTGTTGCCCTTTCTCCCAATTGTCACGGTGTTCTTCTCATAATCAAACTTGGTGGGATTGTACTTTTTCATCCACTCATTGCCCAAAACCAAGTCATAACCACCTAAGTTGATGATTCTTAAGTCTTCTTGAAATGATTTCCCTCCCATCTTCCAACTGAACCCCATGCAACAAGCATTGCACATCACATAATTCCCATCTACAACAGTCTCCCTCATTGGAGGACTATAAACTGGTGCATATCCAGTTTCCATTACAGCTTGTTCATCAATAAAGCTGTGAGTGCTTCCAGAATCCACTAGAATTGCCAGAGTTTTGTTTTTGATGACTCCTTTAACTAGTATTGAGTTTACTCCTGAGTTGTTACCAGCTAATGCACTGAGGCACATAGCCTCTAAAACCTCCTGTTGGATTTCCCCTTCAATGATAATATTTTCCATTACAGAATCTTCCCCTTGAGTCTGTGTTTCTGATATTAATGCTGCAGGGCTATCTTCATTTTCTCCCACTAAACAATTCAGCTGTCTAGTTTTGCACTGGTGACCAGGAGCATATTTCTCACCACATCTAAAACACAAGTGATTGGACTTTCTGTATTCATATACCTCGGGGCTCAACCTATAGGTTCCAGTTCTATTAGATACTGGTTTTGAGATTCTGTTTGTATTTATAACTCCAGTTGGTGAAGCACCCCTCCCAATTGATCTGTCTTTCCTATGCACAGCCTCAATAGCTTTTTCCTGCAATTTAGCTTGCTCGATTGCTTCACTCAAGGTAGCAAGTTTGGACAGCTTCACGGTGTATTTGATTTCTTCCTTAGGGGCCCCCATAAAGCTGGATAGAAAATGAGACTCATTCAATGCAGGGTTTCTCATTATCATTTGTGCCTTAAGGTCTTCGAATTTCCCTAAGAATTCTCCTACTGATCCAGTTTGACTCAATTTGTTGAATTCCTCCACAATGTCTTCCATTAAGGTTTCACCAAATCTAATATACAGTTCATCTTTAAATTCCTCCCCAAGTTATTACTCCTCTACTCAGAACAAGGGAATTTAACCAAGTTTCAGCTACACCATTTAAGTATAAAGCAGCACATCTACCTTTATATTCTCAGCAGTCCATTACAATTTAAAATACCTTTCGCATTTTCTGAGCCAAACCTTAGGTTCATTACCTTCGAAACATGGAAGTTCCCATTTGGGAGGAGGTACTGGCCAACCTAGAATCCTGTTAGCTCTAGCATCAAGGCCAGGCACTGGCAACAACCCATCACCAAGTGGATTGACATTTTCTGCTGCTCTCACAGGTATGGGTAACAGTCTGTCACCTTGAGGATTTGCATTGTCTGCTACTCTAGCAGGTGCTACTTCCAGCACAATTAGTCTATCCATGATCTGCTCCAAAGCTCCACGTATAGTCGTCTGTGTCTCGTTCAGTTCTCTACAGGTAGCTGTCAGTTCCTCCATCACCTCATCGTGTTTTGCCAGCTTTTCATCCATCAACTTTATTCGTGTGCCTTCCGCCATTATCGTGCCCATAGGTTATAGAATCACGCTCTGATACCAAATGTTAGAATTCAAATAATTAAGATGGAATTTAACAATTGCTAAAAGGAATTGCGATAATTTTTTGGGATGATTTTCGATTTGTTGAAATAGAAAAATAGAACTGAATTACAAGCTAAGGAAAATGAAAAATTAACAACTAAATGAAACAGAGCTCCATGGTTCTACTTGAGATCTGCAGAAGAAGAGAAGGAATTTGGGTTAGAAGAGAAGAGAAAGAGGTGAGGATCAGAAGAAGAGAAAGAGGAGTGAGAAAGGAAGATACCGTGTAATTCGTTACCCTTATCTGCAAAGTTTGTTAGTTAAATAACAAACACCTTGCCAGCTGGCACAATCTGGACCCTTGAGCCTCATTAAGTGACGATTATTCTGAGCCGTCGATTCAGTGATCCGTTAGGCCTCCTCTACTGCTTCAAGTTCGAACTCAGCTAACCACATTTTAACTAATAATTTCGGGGTTACAACACTCATCCTTCGTGTATGATATGCTATGGGTATAGATGTATTCGATTCCAATCAATCAAACATGTGTTATGACAACAATATCAATAATACAAACTTAGTATTTTCCAACACTAAGAGGTTTTTACTCACAAATTACCAAGCTATTTCGAGCTCTATGCAATACAATTATTCATGACCAAGTAAGAATCTCCCTATTCCTAGTTTGATTCCATTAATTGAGATGAGACTAATTCCTTAATATACCTAATTCCTTGCTAATTGCTTATACCTAAATTCGGTTCCACTTTTCCAAGTTAGAACTAAGTTTGATAAGCATTAATCTAGTGTTTGCAACCACCAAATTATACAAGAAAGTATGGAGCAATTAGATAACACAAAATTGAACATAGACGAATCTATATTAATAACCCATAACTATAACACTACTCTGGATTCACAACCTTAGCTAATGAGTTTAGCTAGACATGACAATAGAAGAAACAATCAAATTATCCTTTAAGCATGTCATTGATGCTAATAGAGAAGAAAAATATTGAGAAACCGTGATGTCACTTGTTAACCTTTAGGAAAACTCACAGCCACTCGTACAATATTCTTCTCTGTCAAAAGTTGTCAAAAAAGACCAAAAAAGTACTATTTATACTCTTCTAAAAAGCTAACAAAATTATCATCTTCGGTCTTGCATGGCCAAGTTGCGTGGTCCAATACTCTATTTCTTCAGCTCTCAGTGCGTGGCCAAGATGCGTGGTCCACGCAGGATGCGTGGCCACTTCCAGAACATAAACTTTCAACCTCCTAGTTCTCTAACTGCATGGGTGACCTGCGTGGGTGACTTGCGTGGCCCACGTAGGATGGACTTTTTTCCTTTAGCATTCTTCTTCATTTTTGGCTTGAATTTGATGGTTTTCTTGCGGGTATTTGATAATTTTCAATCTCTTAATTCTCACCTAACTCCATGACCTACAATTATATCATTCAAAACATAATTAGTCAATTAATCACATCAACTGGGGCATAACTCTTTTAAAAGGCATAAGAGAAGTTGGGGAAAATACCAACTTATCAACTCCCCCAAACTTACTCTTTTCTTGCCCTTAAGAAAATCAAAACACAAGCCAGGCTCATAAAAATAACTAAACAATCAAGCTAGCGACAACACTCAGCCACGAACCAATTCCAAGCACAAAACTCACAACTTCGGTTGGTACCAATAATTTATCCAAAGCATATGAATCATCACATCTTTCTAGAAAATTCAATTTTAATTCAAGCGCTCATACTACCAATCAAAGCAACAATCAAAATCATGACATCAAAGCCTCTAAATTTGCCTCTTCATCACAAAATAACTTTCTTTTGCTCATTTATCCCAATTGGAAAAAGAAACAAATTCTCAACTCGAGTTTTCATGTGCCCTCATAATCAACAAAGAATCTCACACACATACTATGTCTTTCAAAACAAGAGTGGGGTGGCAAGTAGAAAGAATTAAGCACTCCCTCTCACAAAGATGTTCAACTCCTCAAGAGTGTATCATAGGCTTGCCTTGCCCTTCATGTAAATTTCCACTAGTGTAGGTGCACCTAGTTCAAAATTATTTAGGACTTGAGGGAATATAATGTAGGCTTTTGGTTAGATGTAGGATATCAATATAGATAAGAGGTGACTACGACCTTCCTAAGAACTACAATTCAACACTTCAAAACACTTTTTAATAAAAATTCCATCCTTTTTGATCCTTTATCAACTTTAACGCCGTGTCAACTTTTTTTTTTTAATTTCACAAATACTTTTTTTTTATTTTCTTCCCTTTTTTATTTCTTTTGGGAAATATACACTTTTGTCAATATGGTAAAGTCATCGCCTTCAATCATTTAGCTTTCACAACAAATTTTTCTCATCGACTCCCCCAAACTTAGGCTAAAAGCCTAAATTGTAGCTTCAAGTGCTCAAGAAGGTGGGGGCATCAAAAGAGGTCAATACAAAAGGGGAAAGATTTTTAATGTGGTTGTCGAATAAAAAGCTAAAGGCTCAAGGGAATTGACTAGGGTAAGCCTGCAAAGATGGACAATTTAAGGTACAAGCGATCCAATGAAAGCCTAAAATAACTTTTCAAACTAAGTGCAACCTAAGATTTCGTCTTGATACACACTTAGGGCAAGTTCTAGACCAAAAAAGAAGCAAGAGAACTCAACAAGAACCTTTTCATTCATGGCACATGCAACACTCAAGTCGAGTAAGTATTCAAGGTCCAGTTAAAGCAAATGAACTCAAGAAGTCACACATAGCCTAAAAGACTATTTAGTGAATTAAAGAGCCAAATATCAAGCCTAAAATTCACAACAAAGACTATTTCTTCAAAAAAATATATTTTAATTTTAAAAACTACCAACAATTCATATGCTAAGGTTTAAGTTGTATTGGTGCCAAACAAGCCATGAGTTGGCTAAGGGACAAGAAGACTACTGCCAACACTAATTTATTAACTACCAGCTGCTACTAAAAAAATAGAAAGATACCCGGTTAAAAAATTATAACTTTGGGAAAGAACCATGGCAAAGAAAACCCAAAAAGATTATTACTATTCTACTAAAGAGCATAAAAACATGAACTAAAATCAGCACCTACAATCATGAATTTCCTCCCCCAAACACAAAATTTTCATTGCCCTCAATGCAATCAAAATAAGAGTAAGGGGAAAGGTAAAGAGGACTCCCTCAATCCAAGCCTGGTGGTGTGACCAACAATTCTGGTGGGTACTCAGACTTTCCCCCATTTATGACCAACAAATCTCTCCTCTTCAAATACCCAACCTACTCAAATTGTTACACCAAAATACATCAAAGTAATATATAAAAGTAATGCTAATTTACTAACTAAAAAGAAAATAAAAGAAAAAAAAGAAACAAGATGAACAAATTAAAGCAGAGAACATGGGTTGCTTCCCTAGAAGCGCCTTATTTAACGTCGGGGCGCGACGCAACAATAACCAACTTCACGATTCCATTGGGGTTTCCCCCAACTCAACTCCTGGGACTACTTTTCCTCTATCAATTTCACCAAAATAGCATCGAAGTCTTTGCCCATTCACCTTGAATATTCTCATATCATTTTTGGATCCAAATCCACGATACGAAATAGGCATATATTAATAACTTTGAATAGTCCACACCATTTCGATTTAAGCTTTCCCCGCAATAATTTGAACCTTGAATTGTAAAGAACAATATCCCCCGGGAAAAACTCTTTCTTCTTGATTTCCTTGTGGTACAGGTATTTATTCCTCCGCTTATACAATGATGCCTTCTTATAGGATTGGAACCGCAACTTGTCCATGGGGTAATTATTGAATTTAGGGAAACCGTCCTCAAGGATTCATCATGACACATTTATTGCATATCCGCATATACCATTTCATCTACTGTATCAATCACATAGATCACTCCATAGTCATGGGATTGCTTCATTGACTTCTAGATATGGAAGATTTCTTCTTCATCATTCAAGCGAAATTTCAATTCTTTTTCTTCCACATCACATATGGCCCACCCCGTAGCCAAAAATGGTCTACCAAGTATGATGGGGACCTCTCTATCCACTTCGCAATCCGATATCTCAATGTCATCTAGAAAGGTGAAACGACTCACTTTGACAAGAATGTCATCAATGACCTCCAACGGTTTTTTCAGAGTTCGATCCGCCATAAGAAGCTTCATAGAAGCAGGCCTTGGATCACCCGAACCTAGTTTCTTGAACACATCATAAGGCATTAGATTAATGCTTTCCCCCAAGTCACACAATGCTTTGGCAAAGCTTGTCACACCGATAATACAAGGGATAGTGAACGCCCCCGGATCCTTCATCTTTTTCACTCCGGCTTGTGAAATGATTGCACTGCACTGATGTGTCACTTTGACTGTCTCAAAGTTGACATTTTTTTTCTTGGTGACCAAGTCTTTCATGAACTTGGCATACCCTGGCATTTTCACAAGTGCCTCCACAAAAGGCATAGTAACACTGATCTGGTTCAGCATGTCATAGAATTTCTGCATCTGTCCCTCTTTCTATTGTTTGAAAAACCTCTGCGGATAAGGAGGAGGTGGCCTAGGTAGCTGCTTGTAGGACTTAGGAGCCTCCTTAGTTGCTTTTTTGATTACTTCATTTCCTTTGGGAGGTTTATCAATCACCTCTTGAAGAGAACTTGGTGCTTGTTTTATCTCTTCAACCACATTTGGCTCTGCTACCGGTACATCGACTTTAGGAGGGTCAGAAACTCTAGGAGGTGTAATCTCCTCTTCTTCATCATCTTCAATCAAAATGGTTCTTCCTTTAAGGACTTTACCTCTCCTCGTGGTAATTGCAAAAATATGTCTTATACTCTCATTTCCCTTTAGATTTGCAACAGTATTACTTGGCAATGCTCCGCGTGGCCTCACATTCAGTTGAGATGAAACTTATCCCAATTGAGTCTCAATCTGCTTGATTGACGTGGTGTGAGAACTGAGCACTTGATTCATTTCTCTCTGTTCTTTGTCAGACTGCTCTTGGTTTTTAATCATCCTCTCTATAATACCTCTTAGCTCGGGATCACCAGAAGATTACCCTTGACTGTTGCAGGACCTTTGTTGGTTGTAGTTCTGAGATGGCCCTGCATTGCGATTTCCTTGATTATTGTCGTTCCATCATTGATTGCCTTGGTTGGACCAATTCGAAATTCCCCTTGCCATTGGTTGCCATGTCTCCATTGTCATTGGTTGTTAGACCTTTGTTGACCTCCTTGATAGTTCCCCACATGTTGAGCTCCCTTATTTTGCATTTGGTAACACTGTTCTTGGAAGTCCCCTTCTTGATTTGATCCTTAGGCAAAATAAATGCCCTCTTGACCCTGGAATTGGTTACCCATTGTTGTTTGATTAAAACCCGAACCTTGAATATTGTCCATAGTATTTACTTTCCTTCGCATTTGGTTCTTGGCTAGCAGCTTCAAGGTTGTTGTCAATTCTGCAATTTTTTTCCTTGAGCTTCCATTTTCTTAGTCAAGTTTACCATAGAAGGATCCCCTTGGGGCACATTGGCTCTAGATTTCCAAGCGGCTGATGTGTCGACCATTTCATCCAATATGTCTTTAGCTTCTTAATACGTCTTGTTCATTATATTTCCCCCAGCCAATTGGTTTAGATGGGTCTGATTGGTGGTATTAAGACCTCAGTAGAATGATTGTAGTAGCATGTTGTCAGTCATGTCGTTGTTTGGACATTCCTTAACCATTCCATGATATCTCTCCCATATTTCATGTAATGCCTCTATGGGATGTTGTCTAAACCCCAAAATTTCATCTTTCAATATGGCCATTCTTCTCGGTGGAAAATATTTGCCCAAGAACTTCTTCACAAGTTCGTCCCGTGAGTGAATTGATGATTTGGCAATCTCTCCATCTAATCTAAAACTTTCTCTCTCAATGAGAATGGAAATAACCTCAATTGTGTACTGCTTCATCCGAGACATTTGGTTGCTTGTTCATTTGGCACACATCGATGAAGTGCTTGAGATGTTTGTTGGCATTTTGACTGGGTTCTCCAGTGAAATATCATCTATCTTGAAGCATGTTAATCATAACACTAGTGATTGTGAAGGTAACCCCCCCCCCCCCCATCCTTTGTGGTAAAATCGCACTAGCATATCCTCGATTTTGCACTAATTCTGGTGGATCTTATTGTGCTCTAGGTGCATGTGGAACTAGTTGTTGAAGCGGTGTAACTTGATCATTCCGTTAGTTTTTATTTGCTGCTCGACGTGCACGGGGTGCTTCCTCAATAGGACCTAAAGGCAGAGCGCCAAGATCTTCTTCCGCTATCACAGTCTACACCAAAAGCAAACGGATCAAAGTAATAACGAAGAAAAGATAAGAACTCGAATAAACACACAATAACACGGTAACACAAGAACACTGTATTCCCCAGCAACAACACCAAAAATTGGTCACGTCTAATCCTACTCTCAAGTTGAAAGTAGTACGCTCGATTGCAATAATAAATCCAACAAGGTTGGGGTCGATCCCACGAGGAGTATGGTGTGTGCTAGAATGTCAAAGAGTGTCTGAATTCAATGAACTTAAAGTAATCTTCAAATAAAAGATTGATTTTCTGCAATTACTTCTAAATTTATGACTATGAAATTTAAACAAACACTTAGAATGTGAAAATAATTAGATATTAGTAATCAATGAGAGAAAGCACTACGGTTGATCATCCTTTGTGTATGCTATGCTATGGTTATAGATTTATTCGATTTCAATCAATGAAACATGTGTTAGGGCAACAATATCAATAATACCAACTTAGTATTTTTCCAACACTAAGAGTTTTTTACTCAAAAATGCCTTTCCAAGCTATTTAGAGCTCTATGCAATGCAATTGTTCATGACCAAGTAAGAATCTCCCTATTCCTAGTTTGATTCCATTAATTGAGACGAGACTAATTCTTCAATATACCCAATTTCTTGCTAATTTCTTTATACCTAAATTCGGTTCCATTTTCCAAGTTAGAACTAAGTGTGATAGGCATTAATCTAGTGTTTGCAACCACCAAATTATACACGAAAGCATGGAGCAATTAGATAACACAAAATTGAACATAGACGAATATATATTAATAACCCATAGCCATAACACCACTCCGGATTCACAACCCTAGCTAATGAGTTTAGCTAGACATGACAATAGAAGAAACAATCAAATTATCCTTTAAGCCTATCATTGATACTAATAGAGAAGAAGAAGATTGAGAAACCGTGATGTCACTTGTTAACCCTTAGGAAAACTCACAACCGCTCGTACAATATTCTTCTCTTTCAAAAGTTGTCAAAGAAGACCTAAAAAGTACTATTTATACTTTTCTAAAATGCTGACAAAATTATCATCTTCGGCTCTTGTGTGCCCAGGTTGCGCGGCCCAATAATCTATTTCTTCAACTCTCAGTGCGTGGCCAAGATGCGTGGCCCATGCAGGATGCGTGGCCCACGCTGAATGCGTGGCCACTTCCAGAACATAAACTTTCAGCCTCCTAGTGCTCCAACTGCGTGGGTGACCTGCGTGGGTGACTTGTGTGGCCCACATAGGATGGACTTTTGTTTCTTTAGCTTTCTTCTTCAGTTTTGGCCTGATTTGATGGTTTTCTTGCAGGTATTTGATATTTTCAATCTCTTAATTCTCACCCAACTCCATGACCTGCAATTATATCATTCAAAACATAATTAGTCCATTAATCACATCAACTGGGGCATAACCTTATTAAAGGCATACGAGAAGTTGGGGAAAATACCAATTTATCAATTACGCAAAAAGTTCGACAAAGCAGTGTCACGTGATTGTAACAAAGTTCCATCGCTCCTGGACTAATCATAACAAAGTTGTGTTGTACTTAACTTGTATGAGATTAAAAGAAAAAGAGCAGCTCGGTGCACTAAGCTCCCGCTATGCACGGGGTCTCAGAAAAGGCCAAACCATAAGCGTCTATTATACGCAGTCTTACCCTGCATTTCTGCAAGAGGCTATTTCAATGACTCGAACCTATGACCTCCTGGTCATATGGTAGCAACTTTACCAGTTACGCCAAAATTCTAACGACCAAAAACTATGGGTCGGTTTAATGACTAAACATCCTCTTATAGTAGTTAGGAGTGCTGAACAAGTGTTTTGTTGAAACTCTAATTAGCTGCGAAATCAAAATTATTATTGAATGCAGTCTTAAAAGTTTAATGTGTAATGTATTAGTATCAAAAGGGAAAAATTCAGTTCCTCATACTCGACCAAAGGAAGGTGATAGAGCTGTCAATATGGGCTGGGTTGAACTTGAATTAGCCACAAAATTAAAATTATTATTGAATGCAGTGTTAAAAGTTTAATGTGTAATGTATTAGTATCAAAAGGGAAAAATTCAGTTCCTCATACTCGACCAAAGGAAGGTGATAGAGCTGTCAATATGGGGGGGGTGGGGGGGGCTAGATCAACCCAGCCCACGTGGGCTTTAGCAATTGACGGGCTGGCTGGGCTAGCCTACTATTTTGATGGGCCTTATAATGGTCAGCCCACCCCAGCCCTATGTGGGCTGCGGGCCCCCACGGGCCGTCCCATCATTTTTTAAAATATAATTTTTAATTTTTTTTGAGTTCTAACCAAAAAAAAAGATAAATATTTAAAAGTTAAAAAAATCTTATAGGAAAATTTTTACAAAACTTAATGACTTTTTATATTGTTCCAATATATCATAATAAACACTAGAACTTATATTGTTCCCCCTCTATCTTCCTTTTTCTTCTCTTCTTCTTCTTTCTTCTTCTTCTTCTTCTTCTTCTTCTTCTTCTCCCTGCTTCTATTAGAAACAACATCTCTACCTTTACTAGGTAAGGGTAAGGTTTACATATACACTACCCTCCCCAGACCCCAAGTATGGGAATATACTAGGTATGCTGTTGTTGTATCACAATAAACACTAAAAAAGTAAAAGACAGACTATATTTTACTTACTAAAAGTCAAAACTCAAAAAAAAACTATTCAAGAGAATGCCCATGACACTTATGTGATATCCAACACATCATCTTCATCAAATAAATTTGAATCCGCTTATGAAAAGGTTGTCTTAACATCTTGATAGGTTACAAGTACTTTGTTCATAAGTACTTTACTTTGTGTTTTGATGATCTAACAAACTTACTATCCAGAACCAGATAAGGAACCTGTTACACATTTACAAGACCTTAAGATCACAAGGTCCAGGTTGGGATTCAGCGTGCGCTATGATTCACCACTTCAAAGTGGAAGGAGCAGCTGAGGGAACAGGTCCCTACCAGTTCTCGAGGAGACTGTACAAAGTCAACTCTCCAGCTAAAAAGTTGTTGCTTGCACACGCTACAGTGCAGGAACAGTGTTGTAGTCAACTTTCCAGGGAAGACTTTTTACCTACCTTACTTGCATCATTATAAGTGATGTCACACATGTATATATGCATTCAAGGGAGGTAAAACAATACACTTGAACACTTTTAGATTTCACA